CACTGAGCGAGCACTTCAGGAAACAAAGAGAAGCGTATTGGGGCAGGGGAGACAGAATCAACACAAAGAACTGTTTCCTAGCGCATGAAGTAAAAAGGAGGCTCAGTTTTAGAGCGAATAAAGGTCAGGGCTGTGGGGTCACTGGTATGGGAAGGTGCTGGTCACCAAGTCTGACAACCTACATTTCATCCCTAGGGCCCTCATGATGAAAGCAGCTGTCCTGTGACCTCACAGGGTACCCACGGCTCACCGCTACAGATGGGCTCATTAGAGAGCTGGTTAGAAGGGCGTCTCTGCAGGGTCCAGACTGGGGTAAAGACTGGAGGAGTCCAGCCTAAGTCACCATCTAAGAGTCTGCCCCAACAAAGCTGGCAGACGACATCGGACCACGGCGAGTGCTCAGGGGGGGGGCCTGGACCTGCAAGGACAGCATTGCATTTTAAATGCATCCCCTATACAAAATGATGACGCTCACTGTGCCATTTCCAAACACCTAAGTCATATACAAGGTTCTTACCCATCCCTTTCCACACTCTCCTCCCGTCCCTCTTACTGGACCCTCTCCCCAACACATCTGCTCATGCGCTCACCTCTCACATTACTCTTTCCTCAGTCCCTCACCTTCCTCAAACGCACTTCCCTGCCTCTCAAGCCCTCTTCTACTTCACACACAGCTACACACAGAAAAACATGTACACACAGATACTCACACAGGTACACACTTGTACACATACACACATGTACACACAGACAACACACATGTACACACATACACACAGACAACACACATGTACACACACATACACACAGACAACACACAGGTACACAGATACACACACACAGGTACACACATGTACACACACGTACACACGCACACACACATGTACGCATACATACATGTACACACAGACAACAAACATGTACACACACATACACACAGACAACACAGGTACACAGATACACACACACAGGTACACACATGTACACATACACACACGTAAACATGTACACACGTACACACATGTACACATGTACACACGTACACATACATGTACACATGTACACACAGGTACACACAGACAACACACAGGTACACACAGACAACACAGGTACACACAGATAAGACACAGGCACACAGATACACACACAGCCACAAAAACATAGGTGTACACAGTTGTACACACACATACATACAAACAGGTACATACAACACACATATACACACAGATACACACAGATAAGACACAGGTGCATAGATACATACACAGCCACACAAACATAGGTGTACACAGATGTACACACACACACACACATACAGGAACACACATACACACACAGGTACACACAGACCACACAGGCACACACAGACAATATACATACACACAGGTACACACAGACAACACACAGGTACACAGACAATACACATATACACAGATAAGACACAGGCACACAGATACACACACAGCCACACAAACATAGGTGTACACAGATGTACACACACAGATTTAAAGCTACAGTGTACACATAAGGGAAAAATTCGGCACCTGTCTTTCTGAGTCTGTCTTACTTTGCTTACCACAATAGTAATAACCAGCTGTGTCACTTTTCCTACTGGTGTGATGATTCCGTTTCTCTCTATGGCTGAATGATGTGGCACAAATACATAATGAAATTTTATCTGCACACCAAGCTTTCTTATGGCCATTAAATTACGTATGAAGTTGAGCTCAAGTTAACTTAGACACGGAGCTTTGCTGACCCCTAGTGGTAAATATGATTATTAACATACTCTAAAGTTTATTTTCTAAAAACCAATAATCAATATACTGACAAATACTTGTCTTGAACTCTACTTTCAAATATGAGTTAAATGGCTAGAACAGTGTTGGTTGTTGCTTCCATCAATGGGGAGATGAAGCCCAAGTTTAGGCCTCTGCAGGGTACCGTCACATTAGGTATGCTGAGGAAAATGGCCAAGGCTATTTAGCTATAAAGTACATACAAATAAAGATTAAGGGAGAACACGCCACAGTTTCTTTAGTGGGCAGAGTACATGGCATCAAAACCAGATAAAACTGACGTGTTTGATGCTTTTGCTAACGTAAGGAAGTGAGAAGAATAGGTACCATTAACATTTTGTCATGGTATGAAAAGTACCTGTCTCCCAATTGTGACTCCTCACTGTGTCTGTAAAAGGAACCATCTGCCTCAATGTTTTTCCTTCTACATAATTTAAAAGTTTAACCAACGACCAATAAACGAATCTCTCCCCAAAGGACGCCCTGAGGAAGGAAGTGTCCGTCCTCAGGCGAGGGAGGGCTAGCTCCTTGCAGGTGCAGACTCCAGCCCAGAAGGTCTGCCTTGAGTCAGTTTGCATCCTGCAAGTTCTTGGAGGGACTCAAAGGTCCATGTTAGTCTCGCAAGGCTCAAACCTAATGATGCTACACAGAACAAAATGACATTCTTAGCTTTGCGCTGTTTAGGAACGTGGGAATTAATGCTGAGTTGCAAGCTCTGGAAGCTGTCACACATCCATCACTTACCCTCTGCCACCTCAGTGCTAGCTGAAATAGGAGGAGGGGTGGATTCATGGAACGAACATTAGCGAATGTTGGTAAGCAAATGGAGATGACGGTGTCTACACATTTACCCATTTGCACGGCTGCTTATGGTTACACTTGAGTCTTCCAGACTCAAGTTCTGACAACACCCTGCACGTGACTGAAGTAACTTCATAAACCTGAAGAAGACCCAAAGTTTCCACTTAAAATTCTTGTTTGGGGGGGGGGGGGCTGGAAAGATGGCTCAGCCACTGAGAGCACCGACTGCTCTCCCAGAGGTCAACTCACAACCACCTGTAATGGGATCTGGCGCCCTCTGCTGGCCTGCAGGCACATATGCAGGCAGCATACTGCATAATAAAGAAATAAGTAAGTACATAAATATTTTAAAAATGATTGTTTCCAGATAATAAAAAACTGTTTTTTTCTCTCGGGTACAATACTTTGACCTCCCATGTACCTTTGTCTCTCTAGGATGGAGCAGGTTGGGCTCAAGGCTAAGTCTGTGTCAATGTGGGGACTCTGGGTTTACACATACTTCAATGAACCATGGAGTTACACAGCTTACAGTGTAGTCTAGGGAAACATTTGTAAAGTGGTCAGAGCACAGGCCTGAGGAAGTGCTAAGCTTGAGCGGGGACTGAGTACTGTTTGGTTAAACTGGCACAGCTTAGGCTGTCTTCTAAATGCCTTCGTTTACACCTGCAGACAAGACAGAGGGGATCTAAGCTTTACCGGGAAGCCTCTCTCTGCAGTGAATAAAGAAACGCTGCTGCTCAAGGTTCTGAGAGCTCTGATGGGGGGAGTCAGCCCCGAGGAGCCGCTATTGGAGAGGGAGCAGAGCGCTGCAAGAGCTGGAAGACAGACAAGGGGTAGGAAAATCCATCTTCTGAATACAGCACAGCCACTGTAACCCTGAACTCACATCAGCTGAGGTTATCTGTACCGAGGCTGCACAACAACCATAACCAAAGTTTTTGGCCTTTTTGCTCATGTCAGCTTGTCCCAGATTTTTCGGATGACAATAACGACTGTTAGTGTTGCTGGGGCAGTCCAGCGGTGGATGACAAGTGAGGTTGGCGTGCTTACAGCTCTGCAGAGAAGTAACTCAAATTTGTACTCACTGCCTCCCGAGGGCCGAGGGCAGAAGGGAAAGCTCATCGGGTCAGAGTGCTGCCGAGGGCTCTGGTGGCAGTCCCGTGACTCAACTGCACTCGTCCCCCGTGGCAAACAATCTACATCCCTAGTTCTGGTATCTACTTTTATCAGACTATGAGACGCAAGTGTGTCTTCCTCAGGACTTACCTCTGCGGTCTGTATTTCCTGCTTGGGACCTAACACACAGCAGGCACTTTATTATGGCCCTGGCTGACTAAACTAAAGGACGATGGGCATATAAACATGATCACACGACTCAAGACATTTCCAGGAGCTTAGACAGTATTGTGATTAATACACAGGGAACTGGGCACACCCATATTTATGATCACTTACACATTCTTGCACTGGTCATTTTAAATGACTGCGGATTCTACCTCCTCCAGCAATCTAAGGCTGGACTGAATGCCTGCCTGCCTGCCTGCCTGCCTGATGGCTCACAAGATCAGTCATTGCCAGCAGTAGTTAAGACTGTGATGAAGCCATTGCGTTTTTCACTACTGCAGGAAATGGTAAATAAGCTGCAGGCCGAGGAAACTCCCCTGTGTGCACCACAGTGGTCTACAGTACCCGACACCTTGCCACATTTTAAAGAGACAAGTGTTTTATGTAAACTAGTATGGAAAGAAGACATACTATTTGACAAAGAATAAAACAAACGTGTAAACGACACATTTATCAGTTCTAAAGTAAAAGCCTATACTTTCTAAGTGTTGAAACATGGACAGACCTAAATAACCCACAAAAGGCCTGGGCACCTCTAGGCAGCTGATAACAGGCTGGGTGTGTGGAGGGAGGGAGATGCTGTTTGCTTTACTGGTGTTGCCTGAACATTTGCCAGGGAAGCCAGAAAGCAACCAGTCGGCAGCAGCCACGAAGCCTTCGCTAGAAACTGAAGGTGGAGGGGAGGCGTTTCATCTTAGACAAACATGGCTCTGGTTCTGCTCCTCACAGGGAGGAGGCACCTCAGCCGTCAGCAACACACAGAGAGTCTTTACAAAGTGAGGATGCTAGTGTCCTACAGAGAAGACGAGCTTAATGACTGACAGCACTATTACCTAACATGAGACATGAGGCTCACCAAAATGGGATTAATTCACAGAACTAGGAGGATTGAGTAAAGATGCCCTTACTAGTTATATATGGCAATAATGGGCAACTAGTGATTAGACAAGATTCTTATTAGTGTGACATGATGGTCTTTGAATATTCTGTTAAATAAATGAAAAAGTGTCTTTTTTATTAGTTTTATTATTTATCATAATGTGTCCAACCAATTAGACAAAGGTTTGGTGGATAAATATCCCATAATTTCTAAAGTCTGGGGTCACACGCACCAGTACCTGACTATATTGCTACTGACCAGGTGCTGATTGGCTTTCTGGCTCCCATGATCCTTCTGGTTGCAACAGATCCTCCCCTTCAGACTCCTTCAGGTCTGCTGGGTCATTCTCCCAAACGGGCTCCCCCTCTTCCACGGGCTTCCTTTCTTGGGATGGTACTCTCGGTGTGGAGTCTCTGTCTAAAAGTGGCTTCTGGGTTTGGGATATGGTTGGCTCCTGTAATTCTAGACTCACCAAGGGATCTGTCACTGTGTCGGGACCACTAAACACATCATCCGACCTCAGAGAGGGCTGTGTGCCTTCCTTGTGCTCATAATTGTCCAGCCTTCTTTCAACCACTTCACGGATCAACACTGAAAAGTGCAGAGGTCACTGTGAGTTCCCACACTTGCTTTACAGACAAGCAGAGAGTACCGTGTAGCTCTTTCCCTTCCCATTAACCTTTATCAATTTAGCATATACAGCGACTACCAGTTAATGCACGGAGCAGGCTATGCGCTTTGCTTCTCTGAATACCAAGTACAAAGCAACAAGAGGAGATGTTATATGATGAATTATAGAAAACCCAGAACAACAGAGGGTGAACTGCACCCTTGTTAATACAACCGATCAACCACGTTTAAGACCCACCGCCAACTCTGATGCCCCTCCTCCCTCATTCTTCCCACTGAGAAATTTGCAAACAGCTTCTACATAAAATAACTTACTGTCAAGCACAGTTCTTCCCACCATGCAGTGTTCCATGGTTTTTTCAACTTCATTCATCAGCCATGGAAGGAATCCTATCTCAATGTCTGCAATAAAGAATCTCATTAAGCCATTTCTGCAAATCCGTAGACAGTATTGCTTCCCAATGCAACTGCTCAGCAGCACCACCTTCCCAACATAAAACAGCGATAGACTCGTACGGCACAACCTTCGCCATATTCTCTCTCTCATTCTCTATATGCTCTGCCCAAGTTCCCTTCTCCCATAGTAGAAGTGATATTGTACAGATCATGGGGTTTTCCAGAGTCAAAATACAGCTGGGCCCATAGGCACAAGCAGAGGTGGGTCAAGGGGGGAGGGCAGAGAGAAGATGCTGGTCTGGGACAGTCCACTGAATGGGACACGGGTCTAGGATGAGCACTGCTGGGAAGGAGCAGTCATCCTTGAGGGCAGAGACAATGGAACTGATCAGCTGAAAGGGCATCTAGGAACGGGCCTTCTAGAAATTACTGCTGGTGAGGTGGAGACGAAGCGCTTCTATTAGTGGAAACTTCACTCCAACTTCAGTGGGAAATCCTCTGTGGCAGCACCTTAACAAGACTCAAAGTCTCAAGATGGATTTCAGGGCATCTATTTAATAGGATGACAACAGAGAGTGACACAGGACAGTATTTGCTCTTGTATATAACATATCTCAGGTAGACAAAAACCAAAACAAATATTACCGTTTTCTGTGACCCATAGTAAGAAGTCTACTCTACAGTTTGGATCTTAACTCTTTCCCCAGACTCTCAGTTCTCAGCAGACAGTGTGTTGGGACATGGGGCCTAGTCGAGGAAGAGCATCATGAAGGGCATATTGGAACCACAGCTTTGATTTCTCAGACACAATTGGAGTCAAGTGCCCAAGTGTGGCTCTGCACTGGAATCCCTGAACCCTAAGCTAATATCAACCATTGTTCTTTCTAATATGTAATCGTGCTTCTCAGAAAAGAGATGCTAATACCCTAAACTGACACCTTTATAATACACTGCTTTAAGGATTTACAATTTTCTTTTGATGTCTAATATTGGCATATACTTAGAGGGCATGGTACTTATTAAGAACAATATTTAAACAACTATAACTGATTTTTTTGTTTCAGAAATATTAAAAAAATCCAATTTAAAAAACAGAAATGGTCATGAGGCAGTGCATGGTGGCACATACCTGTATTTCCAGCCACCAGGAGGAGGCAGGAGGATTGTGAGTTCGAGGCTGGACTAGATTACAAAAAAAAAAAAAAAAAAAAAAAATGAAAAAAGTTATGGCAGTGACCATATACATTAAATAAACGTGAAGCAGTAAGAATGTTCTCAGTGTAACAGAGTGAGCCTAACAAAGACCTGCACAAACCTCTTTCAATTGGATCGTAAAAGTAGCCACTGCTCCTGAGACTGTCAAAGACAGAAGGCAGAAGGTCAGCCAGGTACCGCTGCGCAAACGCACGCGCCGAGATCTTCTGTGATGTCTCATTGTGCTTATGTATGATTTCCCACTGCTGTTTCTTGCGGCGTTCCTGTCAAGGGAAAGATGGCATTGCACATGGCTATCTGAACAGCTTGCCCTCTCCAGCACTGGAACTAGTGGGACTGTATGGGGGAAGAGTCTAGAGCTGCCAAAAGTGCTCAGCTCAGTTGTCAGTCAAGGGCTCACCGTGAAGCTGTATGTGTGAGCAATTAGTGGGCACTGGGTTTACAGAGAAATAAAGGAAGCTGAGGTGAAAGTCATCTCCTGACCCCATTTTTAAGTAAAATAAATGCTAGGCTTAACTGTATGCATGCTGTTAAAAAGATAACGGCATCCGGATGCAGTGGCACACACCTTTGAAGCCTGTACTTGGGCGACTGAGGCCACAGGATGGTGAATTAAATGCTATCCTGGGTTACACAGGAAGACCTTGTCTAAAACCACGATAGATAACGACATGCATTTTTATTACTAACACCATAAAGTAGCACTAATATGCAATTTTGTCATTACATATCTTCCGTCAAAGAAACAGGCCAGTGGTTTGACTTGTGTTTAGGACCTCTTTGAATTCATAAGGCTGAAAGGGTTTCGAAGATCACTTGCTTTGTATGTTGTTTTCTCCTTTAGGTCACATGACATCTATAAAGCTAATGAATGCTTTTCTATGTGCCTATATAGAAGTGGCAGAATTAACATAGTTTTCAAATAATCTATTTTCAAGGTATAAAAACATATACAAATCTAGATGACTTATATTCTAGAGTTTTTCCCTTGGGGTGTGTGTGTGTGTGTGTGTGTGTGTGTGTGTGTGTGTGTGTGTGTAGGAAAATATAAAATTCAGTTAAGTACTGAGTAGAATTTTCCAGCACATGCACTTTTCTTCACAGTGCTTTGGGCTCTTTGGGAAGTCATTGTCACTGGTGTAAGGACGGTGGCACTACTCTCTGCTCATTCAGCACACAGGGAAGAGTGACAGCTACTGCCAATGACAGAAAGACCCTTCAAAATGATTAAACATAGATTTCTGTAGCTGTAGGCTACTGATACACTTTATTAAAATGAGTTATAAAACTTTTCTTATTGAAGGTTCATAAAACACAATTTGGAAACCGAGACCTGACCAGCAGCAGAAAGACCTAGCACTCTGCTCAAGTCTCCGCTTACTTCCCCAGTAACGCCCAGCATCCCTCTTCTTCCTTTCATCTTCTGCCACTGGATGAGGGCAAATCACAGTACTCCTTTCTCTAATGCGCTGCTTCCAAACTCTTGTTAGTTAAGCGCATCACCCAGCTTGGACATGTGTAATATGGAACCCTGCATGTCACTGGGAGCTTTTGGAAGCTGGCTAGGATGCACTGCTAGGAGGTGGGATGTAGACAATGTAGGTGACCCACGAGAGATGTATGATCCACAGGGGAGGCTGGAGCAACACGTACCGCAGGACTTCCTCACACGTATGTACAAAGACCATAGCTTCGTGGATACGTGAGCGCAGCGTATTAAGTAGCCAGAAGACTGAAGAGCAGTTCCAGGTATTATACACAAAGGACGGGAGGCCTGGGCTTATTCCCGAAGAAATAAGAAGTAAAGAGCAAGACAGAGAGACAGACAGACAGACAGACAGCCCCACCTTTTCTTCTCGGTGCCGTCTCTCTTGCTCTTCTAGTCTCTGCACTTCAGCCAGTTCAACGTTCCGTATTTCTTCATACGCGTACTGATTGGCCCGCAGGTTGGCCAGCTCCTCCTCTTCCATCACTTCCAGAAGGGCCTGCTCAATCGTCTTCCCCACCAGAACTTGTAACATTGGTTTGACTTCAAGGTCAAAGTCAAAGAGCTTAAACACAGAAGAAAGCAAACAAAATTTTAATCCTGAATCAAATGTGTAAGAGAACGTAAAGGAGGGGACAGGAGGGGGCGCTGTGTGTGTAAAGGAGGGGACAGGAGGGGGCGCTGTGTATGTAAGGAGGGGACAGGAGGGGGCGCTGTGTGTGTAAGGAGGGGACAGCAGGGGGCGCTGTGTGTGTAAGGAGGGGACAGCAGGGGGCGCTGTGTGTGTAAAGGAGGGGACAGGAGGGGGCCTGTGTGTGTAAGGAGGGGACGCTGTGTGTGTAAGGAGGGGACAGGAGGGGGCGCTGTGTGTGTAAGGAGGGGACGCTGTGTGTGTAAGGAGGGGACAGGAGGGGGCGCTGTGTGTGTAAAGGAGGGGACAGGAGGGGGCGCTGTGTGTGTAAGGAGGGGACAGGAGGGGGCGCTGTGTGTGTAAGGAGGGGACAGCAGGGGACGCTGTGTGTGTAAGGAGGGGACAGGAGGGGGCGCTGTGTGTGTAAGGAGGGGACAGGAGGGGGCGCTGTGTGTGTAAAGGAGGGGACAGCAGGGGACGCTGTGTGTGTAAGGAGGGGACAGCAGGGGGCGCTGTGTGTGTGTCAGACCCTGCAAAGCCACTGAGTTTCACTGCCCACAAGGCACACAGAAGAGCACTCTGATCCCAGACAAAACTCTAGTAAGTTAAATAATGAAGTCTGTCTGCATGGGTAGGAACACCAACTCTCGATGATTTTAAGTAGAAATCTGAAACCAAAGGGAGGTTTCCTGTCTTTCATACTCTGTCTTTTTTCTGCTAAACATTACTGACTAAGGACCAAGGTCAATACACACCCTGAGAGACTAGTGTCAATGCATTGCCTGAAAACTACCCTGTCTCCCAGTTTTAATGACAGTTTTTAAAGTCCCTTTACTGTCCCTTCCCCACATCACTACTCAGGGGGTCATTACCTTTATTCACAGACTGACTATTCATCGTTCCACACGGAGATGAAAATGTCACTCAGAATTTTTAAACATGTAGTTTCTTCATATACGTTATGTACTCCACAAGTGACTTGCGAGGTCACTGAGAGTAGAACCTCACGTAAAGGGTAGTAGTCTTCCTTATTTGGTACAAACCTTAGGTACATTCATAAATAAATATGTAAGCAAAATGGAATGTGTAAAAATGCTTGTAATGATTTTACTTTTTAATCCAAAAATAGGACTAATCAAAATAATATACCTAAAAACATTTTTTCCCAGGTGGTGGTGGCGCACACCTTTAATCCCAGTACTTGGGAGGCAGCAGTAGGCAGATCTTATGAGTTTGAGGCCAGCCTGGTCTACAGAGCGAGTTCCAGGACAGCTAGGCATATAGAGAGAGACTGTCTTGGAAAACCAAAACCAACCAACCAAACAACCCCCCTCCCAAAAACAAACCAACCAAAAAAAAAAAAAAAAAAAAAAAAACATTTCTTGATACTACAGGATAAAACCACTAAAGGTAATATCTGGAAAGAGATCCAAACAGAGACTCTGACTGTGAAATGGCTCTTGCTTCTACGAAGCTTTACCTGATCCTCACTGTATGTCATCTTTGAAGGAGGAAGGAAGCCAGGGTGTACTGACCTCTCCTTCCAGTATCTGAGTGGCCACGTCTTTGCCAGTTTTGGCAGGAATGAAGAGAGGTGTTGGTGGTCTGTCCAGAAATGCATCTGTCTGGCATTCCATGTCCACTTCAACTATGCGGTCAGCAATTTCTTCAAGGTATAATTCTAGGAAGGGCAATTGATTATGGGTTTACAATTAATTATGGTTTATTTTAGGCACAGACAGATACTTGAAATATCGCTTGCCACAAATAGAACTAAGTTACCAGGCAAGATGACACAAACCTGCACTTAGGAGGCTGAGGCAGGAGGATCGCATATTAAGGCCAACCCAGGATCCATAGTGAGTACGAGATTCCATCTTTAGTAAATACAGGATTTGCTATAGTAAGGGTGTTAAGAATTTTAAGGATTCTGGGAATTTTAAGAATCAAGCATCAAACTAACTTGCTCTTTGGTATTCTCTCTCCAAATAGTTTAGAAATAGACAGTTATAAAATAAACCTGTGGGGAGGCTGGGCACCACAGGAAGACTTGAACTTGGTGTCCAATGCTGAACACGGGATCCAGCCAAGATAGAGCTCTCTGCCCTCAGTTCCTCATGTGTAAAAAGGACCAGAGTTGCTTGTCACATGGACTCTTTTTAACACAAAAGAGTCATAGGAAAAGGGACAGAGGGAGCGGTAAATACAAAGTAGGGCTGTATCATTTAATATGCAGATGGTATGAAGCTGTGTCCAGGCTTCTGTGGTTATGACATGATGTGGCATCTACAAAGCTGTGATCTGAACAATCAAGGTACCCAAAATAAGAAGTTAGTAAAACCTCTCATGTTCTGAGCCGGCCACATTTATAGCTTTTGGGCACACCCAGGAACAAGACTAAGCCTTAGTAGTCAGAATCACAAAGATGGCTAGTCCCTGACATTTACTCATTCTAGGCTTGGCTCAAGGGCAGGGGAAGCAGTGTAGTTTATCCTTTTTGCTTTTACTCCAGAAATAACCTTGCTGAACCTGCTATAGAAGAAGAGTCTCAAGTCACACCAGTCTCTAGAAAACACCAAGTATTGTGAGCTAGCCCATCAAGGTTCTGTCAATAGGAAACCCTGTCCAGCAGGGTTTGGTCCTGGAAACTTGACTGGGGCAGCAGGGGGATGAAGAAGGACAGACACACAGACACATGCACAGAAGAGCTGGGGCCAGGGGAGCTATGCTCACTCTGCCGGAGCAGCACCTACTATCACAGCAATCCAGAACCTCAGCACATGTATCTATCATGTACCGCATGGGTGGCGGTGGGAGGTGGGTAGCCCGGCTCGCTCGGTAGGCGTCTTAGGCAAGCAGTCTCGGGTTGTAAACATCTGGGAGGAGAAGTCTGCAGTTGCTAGTTTTTACACACAGTGGTCAACCACCTGTAAACACTCCCACTCCCACACTGTCCACATTGACATTCAGACCAGTAGGGGCCCTGACAATTCCCTGTGGGTCTGTGGCGTTAGTCCCTGCTGTGGCCGTGCCTATGCTAACAACTCACATTTACTCACAACTTCATCTGCTGCTGACACGTTCCCTGGGGGCTTCTTCTATTTACTTCTATTTACTACATTCACTCGGGGCTTCCTCTGCCGTTTCCACAGTCAGGGCCTCCTCAGCCCCCCCCCCCCCAAATGGAAGTCTGCACAGCTGAGCCGAGCGGGAGAAGTAGGGAACCCTGGGACCTGCCTAGGAGCACCTACGTGCAAAGTCATGGGGAGCAAAGGAGAGCGGCCAGTGCGAAAGGCACTCTGACAGACAAGTAAAAGGCCCGGACAGCTGCAATGCTCTCCTGTCAGCCTCCCCACCCCGGAGCGGGGACGGAACCCAGGGTCTACCACTGAGCTAAACCCCCTACCCCTCCTGTCAGTCTTGATGAAAAGAAAAGCGGCTTATGTTAGGTTGTGAGCAATAACCCTACTTTGAAATTGTGCTGGCCAAATTTGTCAGCTTGACACAGGCACCTGGGAGGAGGGAAGCTCAATAGACAAAACGCCTCCATAAGATCCTCTGTGGGCAAGCCTGTAGAGCATCTTCTTAATTAGTGATTGATGGGGAAGGGCCCAGCCCACTGTGGGCGGGGCCATCCCTGGGCCCGTGGTCCTGGGTTCTGTAAGAAAGCAGACTGAGCAAGTCGTGATGAGCAGCATCCCTCCATGGCCTCTACATCAGCTCCTGCCTCCAGGCTCCTGCCCTGCTTCCCTTCACTGATGGACTACAATGGGGGAAGTGTGAGTCTCCCAACTCGCTTTTGATCATGGTGTTCCATCACAGCAATAGTGACCTCAACTAAGACAGCCATGTAATATGGGCAAGGGCCGAGAGAGAGTTAGTAGTCAGGGAACCCTTATCAAATCCAAACCCCTACTTCCAGCACTCCCAACATGAGAACAGCCTGTGCTCTGTGCACGTGCTTCCTGAACAGACTTCTCCACCACGGAACTGGGGAAGGACTGACAGACATCAGAGATCCACAAATAACAGAAAGGGAAGAGAATGTAAGTCCCAGTGGGCTGACACCAACAGCTCATGAGCCATGATGCGGGTGGCATGGTCAGCTACCTGTCTGTACATCCACATGCTTTCTGCCCTCCACGGGCTCAGGTGTCCGTGGTCTGAGCTGCTCTTGGGCTCGTTTTCTGGCAAGAGCCCTCCTCCTGGCTTGCTGCTGTCGCTGAAGCTCCAGAGGATCAGGCTGTCCGGGCTGAGAGGGGCAGACAAGGATTAGAAACTAGCAAACATCAGTTCTCAAAGCAGATAGCCACTGCCACTGACGAAGCCATCCCTGGCTGCCACCAAAGCACGTGCCAGCCAATGCCTCTGACTGGTGGTGGTGACGTGGCCATTTTGCTGGGATGTGGTCAGGTGACACCAAGTTAACAGCAAAGCCAATCTGGGACACATGGGTTAGAGTCCTGGATAATTACTCCCTTTCCTTCAGCGTCAGTTCCTCCGGTGCCTAGTAAAACAGATGCATTTATTCCGTTACAGTAAACTTTGGTGGATAGTTCAGAAACTGAAAATCACCAGGACTTTTTTTTTTATTATTTTAAATCTGAATTCAATTGAATTGATTTCCCTTAAAAATTTTCAGTTTAAAGAGAAAACATCCTGAGTCCAAAGAAAGTTTCAAGCCAGGTTATAGTGGCACATTCTTTTAATCCCAGCACCAGGGAGGCAGGAGCAGGCAGATCTTCTTGAGTTCAAGGCCAACTCAGTCTACAAAGCAAGTTCCAGCACAACCTCCAAGGCAGTACAGAGAAACCCTGTCTGGGGGGAGGGGGGACTGAGGGTAAGGCTTCTTCGAGTACACAAAATAGTACTGCCAATTTTAAGAAAATTACAAAAAGAAAACAAAATTGGAGAAAGTACTTTGTATGAAAATTTTCAATATTTAAAACTTAAATGTATTTTAAATCTTGTGTGTAACTGTGTACATCTGTGTATGAGCGTGTTCATGTTTGAGCCTGGCATGTAGTATGTGTGCCACAGCTGGAGGACAAACACAGGTCCTCATGGGGACTGAAAGGCACACACTTGGATGACTGAGCATCTCCCGGTGCCCGTTTTCATTTTAAATCAACATAAGGCAACTATGTTTATTCATGGGTCACAGTTTGACCTTTCAGCACACATTTACAATGTGTAGTGATCACATTAGCACAGTGAGCATGTGCGCCATTTCTCTGAGTTGGGGGACACTTAAAATCCTACTAGCTGCATAACGGTGTTTTAGAAACATTACACCCAAGTTATTCTACAGCACAATACTCCTTGAAAGTGACTTCCTTTTTCTCCGCTAAGTTGCTTATTTGTTTGTATGAAGTCTTCACAATCTTCCACCTCTGGTTAAAATAATTTCGCCTGCTTTATAATTCTTCCATCTGAGTGAGTCATCTAAACAAAACTAAATGTGTCAGATGCCGGCCAGAAGATGGCTTCACACGAGTGGTGTCTGTGAAATGCTTACACTGATCTACAAGTGAGCATAAAATCTAAAGTCAAAGTCTAGAGCTTTCAGAGGGGCCACGAGGATCCTGTCCAATAAAAAATCAGGACTGATTTTAGTAATTGTTTATAATTGTGGAAAATATATATGAAATGTAAAAGTTACCACTTTCCCTTTTTTATGGTGGGGAATGTATTGGTTGGTGAATGGGTTCACCCTTTACAGCAGGCTGAAGAAAAGAGGGTTATTTTGTACCACAGAGAGCAGCACACGGGGCAGAAACTGACCACCCGCTACACCCCCGTCCTTAAGGGTACAACTGCATGGCATCAGATGGGGCAGAAACAGTGACCGCCCACTACACCCACGCTGCTCCACCCTCAGAACTATTTACTCTGCTGAAATTCAAACTCTGGGCCCATCAAACAGTAAGTCCTTTCTCCTCTAGCTCCTGCAGGAACCTACATACATATGCATACACATACACACATACATATGCATACACATATATATGCACATACATTCACACATATATACACAATACACATGCATATGCATACACGCATACATTCATATATACATACATACACATATACATACACACACATACTTTGGGGGGCAGTGTTGGGGACTGAACTGAAGGCCTTGCACATGCTTGGCAACTACTCTATCATGGCCCACACCCCACCTCCTATGTATTTAAAAAATTCACTCTTCAAATAATTTTTTATTTCATTGTATGAGTGTTTTAGGAGACAGATCAAAATGTGACACAAACACACAACTGATCCTTCACCACAGGTTAACACAGCTGTTAGACAGCTGTCCTGTTAGTTGTTATTGTCAACTTGACACAAACCCAGAGTCACCGGGGAGGAGAAAAGCTCAACTGAGGGACCACCCAGATTGGATTGGTCTGCAGCCTTGTCCATGCACAAGACTAATGGTTTTGGCTAATGGTTGATGTGAAGGACCCAGCCCACTGTGGGAGGCACCATCCCTAGGCTGTGTAAGCGTGAGTGAGCTCCTGCTCTGACTTCCCTCAATGATGGCTTGTGACCTGGAAGTGTTAGCCACATCAGCCCTTCCTTCTTTAACCACTTTTGGCCATGGTACTTGCTATAGCAACAGAACTGAACTAGGACAACTACTCCGACTGCTTACCACCTGTCCCGTGGGTAGTGCATAGGTGTTACCTCGGATCACCCTTCTGTCATACATTATGTTTCCATAACTCATAGGTTCTTCAGCTCTGTAAAACAGAAAGTTCTAAGTGAATAGTAGAGCACTTAAATCCATTAAGTGAACCCATTTCAATAAAATTTAGATTTAAGGTATCTTACAGGGGCTGGAGAGATGACGGCTTGGTAGTTAAGAGCACTTACTCTTCCAGAGGACCCAGGTTTGGTTCCCAGCACCCACATGGCATCTGACAGCCATGCATAATTCTCTCTTTCATGGGATCCCATGTCTCTGGTAGTACACACGCATGCATGCACACAAAACACTCATACACATAAAATAAAAATATCTAAAAATGTATAAAAGAAAGTATAGTACAATCCATAAAAAAGTAGACAGTCACTACATGGCTGGCCCTTACAAATGTTACTTATTACTAACAATAATTTCATGTTGGGAACTATTACTGCAATTGAACAGAAGAGAAATGGAAAATAATCTGTCCAGATGTCCCTCCTAGTAAGACACAGAGCTGAGCTCAGGCTGTAAACACTCAAGACTGTTCAGCAAATGTGAAAAGGCCAGTGAGTTGGAGTTTGTTCTCTGAGACAAAAAAAAAAAAAAAAAAAAAAAAAAAGCCCCATTCAGGGATTGAAACTATACAGTTAAAAGAATCAGGTTTTAAACAGAAAGTCAAGCTTTGCATTGTCCTTTAACGCTACGGGAACTGTTGAGATGGACAAGTTTTGGATGTCAGGAGTCATGATGATAGGAGTCACAATAACAGTGAAGACACAAATGCCAAGCTGGCTTCCGTGTGTCTGTCCTTCAGTGCACTTCTGTTCACAGCCGACACCAGCGACACACTATCAGAAGTGACTGAGGGAGGGGGCTAAGCTGCTGACCCACATGGAGGCCGCTCCTCAACACACACACGCTTTTCTGTCCGTGTTCCTTGCTCTCAGGTTGTGCCCAGCTCCTGCACGGGGACGCTCTTTTTTCTAGGCCCATATGCTACTTATCTGTACTTCCTATGGGCTCAGCTTTCTCTCCATGAGCAAAGCTTCACCTATAACCCACAGGCCAATTTTATTTCATTTTTAGTTTAGTACTCTCCACTCCAGACACATCCAGCTGCCCAGAGACATCTTACTAAGATGTCTAGAAAGCAATTTCAACACCGAATTATTCTTCTCACTCCAACTTATTACTTTAAGTGTTTTCTATTTCACTAAATGGTGCCAATGACCACAGTTGTGACTTATCCGAGAACACTGGGAGTCATGGATTACCAAGAATTCTGATTCCACACCACACCTTGGTCAGTTTTCCTTACTCCCATCCAGTACTCACTTGCCATCCCTGTCTGTCTGTCTGTCTGTCTGTCTGTCTGTCTGTCTGTCTATCTATCTATCTATTTTTCTCCCTCTTAACTAACCTGAACAACATTTCTTCCTCAATGCATTCTATGTCCATGGAGGCCAGTGACATTTTACAAGAGTAGTAGTATTGACTTGGTGGTGGGAGGTGTCATTCTATAAATAAGCTCCTCTTATTGGTTAATGAATACAGCACTGTTGGCCAATAGGGAGGCAAGATAGGCGGGACTAGGAGACAAGGAGGAGTCAGGGAGATGGAGTAGGAGGAGTCTAGATGTAGGACATGAGAGGAGGTCCAGACCTTCTCTCCAGTAAGTTAAGACCAGGTGGAAACACTTAGATTGATAGAAGTGGGTTAATATTTAAGACAGAGCTAGCCAATAAGAAGCTCTAGCCATTGGCCAACAGCTTTATAACTAATAGAGTCTCCGTGTGTTATTTGGGACTGACACGGCTATGGGACAAGGCTGGTGGAAAGTGCTTGTAACAACTTGGTTAATGCCTCCTATTGTGAAAATAATAAGGGGAAATGTTAGGTTCACACTATCAAAACAACAAAATCCATGATACCTACTGTTGATATGGATGTATTATATGTGTTGAACTATTCTTGGAGGACAGGCATATTGTATTTGTTCACATTAAATATATGCACGGCTTAACAATCACATTCCTAAGAACCTACCTCATAGAAGTAAAAGCCCGAGCACACACAGTTGTTTGTCAAATCTCATTCTTTGCAGCAAAAGCTAGAAGCAAACCGTGTCTTTATCAACAGTGCAAAGTTTCAACAGTGACAGTTACATCCATCCTCGGCATTATCACGATGCCATGGAGGACAAGTGAGCACTCCAATTATTAAGTGGTTCAGACCTGTGTATGCTACTGTTGCTACGAAACAAACTGTGATGTCCATCTTGATTGCCGGCTTGAGAGATACCCAGGAGATCAGTAGGGCAAACTTCTAGGAGTCTGTGCGGATGTCCTAGAGATGATTACTCAGGAGCTCTCTGGCCTAATCAATAATTTAGATCACTGGTGGATTCAGAATCTACACAGACTGTGGAGAGTGGAATTAAAGGAAGTTATGTTTAACTGATGAAGTGAACTCACTAGAGATGACACTCAGGGTGAATCTGGGCTCTGCATCTTTCCTGTTATTTTCTGTTCTGCTTTCTGGCTGCCACGAAACAGGTATTTCTGTTTCCCCACACCCTTTCCACCATGATTCTCTGTCTCACCCCCCAGAAACAAATGACCATGTACCATAACCTCCCAAAGTGTGAGCTAAAATCAGTCTGCTCCCTCCTCTGCTAGTTTTCTTGGTCCTTGTTCAGTGATGGAAAGTTCACACACACACACACACACACACACACACACACACACACACACACACGGGAGACAGTGCTGTTATTATGTATTCACAAATAAGAAGCCATGAATTTGGGGCTGGAGAGATGGCTCAGCGGTTAAGAGCACTTGGCTGCTCTTCCAGAGGTGCTGAGTTCAATTCCCAGAAACCACATGGTGACTCACAACCATCTATAAAGAAGTCTGGTGCCCTCTTCTGTCATGCAGGAGTACATGCAGACAGAACCCTGTATACATAACAAGTAAATCTTTAAAAAGAAAAATGAATAATTAAAAAAAGAAGCCATGAATTTGAAAATAAGTATGAGAGCCTGGAAAGAAGTACAAAAAATAAATGCATACAAAACTGATAAGATGGTTTGCATTAAGGATAGGAGTGGGCTACCAGGCAAGAGAGGTGGGGATGGCTGAGATATAAGTCCTAAGAACGCCCTAGGCATGATGGATCCTTTTGAATGCTTTTTTATAAATACGCATGTGCATGTACAAGTAATAGGAGGAAAATAAATTTAAACCTTATTTAATAGGAAGAGAAAGCTAACTGTACAAAGTACATACCAGTTTGCTTTACTTTGGAGAGAAATCTCTTATATATGTGGTCATCATGAATACAAACAAGAACAGTGGAAAATGGTTCAATCTGATTTTAACAGGGGAGAAACAGGGTGATCAGGAGGTGATTAACTGTTATTTACCTGTTTTTACTTACTGTTGTTTCTATAAGGATATTTTACTTTTAAAAGCTCAAAAGCAACAATAAGGATCATTTTAAAGACCCCCCTCTGAGCTGTCCCCTTTCTCTTCCTTGGCCTTTCTGCTCCAGCACCAGTGGCATAAAAGCTGAATGTGGCCCTCTGGCTTCGCAGCCTCTGCTGTCCCATTCCTGTGCCTACCTGGGTCCCTCGCCTCCTGGGTCTTCCTGCTTTCTAACCACACTGGTCTTGTAGCGTCTTCAAACAGACTTGATTTCTTTCTTTCCCTCCCTCCCTCCCTTTTTTTTTTAATGGGAGTTTTGAACATGTCATTTCTTCTTTTTGAAACATTCCCCTCCCCTGTGCCTTGGCCCAATCTCCAAAATCATTTGACTGTCTCCTTAGGTCCTGCTGCTTGTCCTATGTCCCCCACAGGGCCAGTGGCCTTTTTCTATGTAGCTGCTAGGAGTCTTTTCATAAATGTCTGTCTGGACTCCAGCATGCTGACAGACATAGTGAGCACTGTACACAGGTGACTTAAAAAAGAAGTAAATTGCTTCAGTGTACAGCTAACTGGTCCACGAGTGGTCTGGATTGTCTGTTAGGCTGTGGCTGTAACATATTAGTTGTATGACCTTGGGAAAGTAGAGAGAAGCCACTTGCTTCTTGGAGATGTTGTGAAGACTACAATACCTGGAACTACCGTGTTTGATAAATGGGAACAACTCCCACCGAGGGGATCTCTTTAAACCTGAAGTTAAGAGTTATACAAATCCACCTGTGTTGTGAGATATTTGATCACACTATGAACAATAAAGAACCATTTCCCTGCTATGATGAACGGTGCCCCTTGAGCTGGAAGCCAGAACGAACTTTCCCTCTGTTCTGTTACTTCTATCAGGGATTGGGTCATGGCCATCAGAGAGTAGTGACGAATAGAGCCTCCCTCTCACCTTCACACCTCCTCTAGCCTCCTCTCCTCCTTTCTTCTTTCACTCATGGGCTCACTGAGATGGCGCTGGTCCCACCTAGACATTCAGGAGAACCTCCCCATCTTAACATCTGAAATTTATTACACCGATAAAGGCACCCGGCCATACAAGGCTCTGGGGATTATGGTGAGGACATCTCCAGGGAACCAACATTCTGTCCACCATGACAATGTTAAGCTTCATTTGAGTCAAACTAAAGGTACAGTGCAACTTTTTCATTTCTTCATATGGAATACTTACTGGAAGCTTTGTATGCTCTTTACTAACAGATTTGTAAGAGAAGGATGTTGTATTTTGGTTTGGGCACAAGCCTACAGGTGATGTTACTGCATTTATATATTTGTGTCCATTTGTCAACAAATACATACAATATGTACACACTGAGTACTCTTATCTGAAATACTTGGGACTAAAGTATTTCAGATTTTTTTTCTCACCGTTTGGAATATTTGCTCATATACGACCCAAATGTAAACATGTTCCATATATGCCTTACACACATAGCCTGGAGGTAATTATATACAGTGTTTTTAGTGTGCCTGCATTCTGACTACCACCAGTCACATAATGTCCTATGTGGAATTTTCTATTGTCCTACTCAAACAGCTTCAGGTTTGAGGACTCAATGTTCCTACTGCTCTTGCAGGGGACCAGAGTTTGGTTCCCAGTACCCATGTTAGGCAGCTCACAGCTCTCTGCACCTCCAGCTCCAGGGGATCTGCTGCCCCCTTCTGGACTCTACTGATGCCCACACAGACACACACACTCACACACTCACATTCATATATACATTTTTAAAAAAGTTTCAGGTACCCAGATTAGGGATGCTCAAACTGTTAACATTTCCTGTTTGTAAATGAGACAACTTGTTTTCTAATGGCCTCTTTCACTTTTACAATTTTTTGTGTTACAAAAGGGCGGACGCCCTTGAACCACACTGGGCTTGTATTCATGTTAAAATTTTAAGTTACTGAGAGAAAAGTGAGACCGTGCTGTTTTTGTGTTGGTGGAATTGGCTTCTCATACCTAAATATAAAACTGGGATTCATCGAAGTCATATACCTCATTAAGATACTTTGTAATCTTGACCCCCCTCACACACACACATTGTTATCCAGTCTAGTCATGTGTTATCTGGATAAGTTACTTACTATGGTCAATACAGGACGTTTTGAACGAGATTGGACTAAGGACCTTGTAGAACCGAGGCCGACTGACAAATGACTTAAACACATTCACTCTTTTGGACATGGTAACTTAGGCACTCACCAGCCAGTTCCGCTAATGGTATTCCCCCCCAAACAACCCCCCCCAGCTACCCCCATATGCTCATTTATAAGCTACCTTGGAAAGTAACTATTTTTATGATAAGGGTATTTTGGTTGGTAATAACTACTTTCATGAAACATTTTAGTATAGTTTCTGCATACACAGACTTATTAGTCAACACACTTCTATATAAACATCAACTGACTATAAGGAGAAAAAAAAAAAAAAAAAAAAGCAGCCATCCTACTGCTTCTATTTCTGAATGAGCTAGGTTTGTGCCAGACCTGGCCAAGAGCTACAAGCTAGCTTCCCGTGCGGCGGGAGAACGGAAGGGGCAGAGATTCCCCTGCTTCCATGAAGCTCGCACTCTTAGGTCCTGCCATTGCAAAACATAGACTGCAAATACTCACTAGGGTAACAGTATGTCTTCGTGGTCCTGCATGGAAGGCTAACCTAATCCCCCGCCCCCACCGGCCCAGGCTGGTGTGAAGAGCTTTACGTGGCTGCCTCTCTCGTTGGGTGGGTACATGCTATCCGTGTGCCTCGTCTGCACGATGGAGGGATGGGTCCACCTCGGCAGAACGGTGGATTAATAGTGTGTACGGGAATGTCCCCCGCCGCCACCCCTGCAGTGTGGTGTGTGGTGGTGGCCGCCTATGACCATGCGTGTCCCAGGCCAGCTGTGCTTCTGCTTGACCACGTAGCTGCGATGGTTTTTTGGTTTTTTTGGGGGGGTGGGGGTGGGTTTGACCGCGCGTACACACGGGAGAGCGGTGGGATGCAAAGCGGGGACCAGACGGGAGCTACTACTCGGGTCACTCACGGCTGCAACAGGCTCTCCCGGTAGCGGCGGCGCTGGCAGGGCACGGCCCGGGGCCTGCTGGTGTAGGTGTAGGTGCCGGAGGCCTCGGCCGCCCGGGGATTGCGGTCTGTCATCGCCGACGCCATGTCGGGGGTCGAACCACCTCCCCGTCGGTGGAGGTGGGCTCTGAGGCAGGCGGGGGCTAAGGAGTCGTGGGAGCCGGAGACGCGTAAATAGTGCCAGGGGCAGGGGTGCCGCGACGCGCGGGGACGAGGCTCTCGGGGAAGCGGGCGCGACGCGAGGCGGCCCGCGCAGCAGCGAGCCGCTACTCCAGGCTTGCTCGGGGCCGCGCGGAGCGAGTCTGCGGCGCCCGCACCGGTCGCCGAGCAACGCGAGGTTCCGTCCGGAGGCAGGGACTCCAGGCGGTTCCGGCCGGCGGGGTTGGTCGCGAAGGGCACTTCCGGCCCGAGGCCACGCCCACCGGCCGGCCCTGGGGCGCGCCTGCGCGCTGGCTGCTTCTTGGCCGGCGGGGCCGCCAGGGCGGGGCCGGCGGCGGCGGCCACCGGGGCGGGGGTGGCGCCGTGTGGCTCGGCTGCGGGGCGCCGCCTGGCGGGGCTGCCGTCAGCGCCATCCTCGCAGGGCCTCGTGCTCTTGCTCTTTCGGGGGCGTCCGCGGTGGGATCTTCTGCCCGGCGCAGCGCGTGCCCGGGCCGGCGCGCTGCCCGGTGGAGACACGCCCTTTGCAGGCGGGCTCGCAGCTCTGTTACGCGCTGGCGCCGGGCGGAGGCGGAGGCGAGGGCGGGGGCGGCCGATCGGCTCTTCCCCAGCTCCTCCCCGCTCCACCGATCGCACGGCGCAGGCTCCCGCAGCTCCCCGGGCTCCCGCAGCGCCCCGGGCCACCCTTGTCGGGAAAATGCTGGGCGGGTTCCCTTTGGCTTTCATCCCCGCAGGCTCCAGGCACCCAAAAGAGCAAACAGCGTTCTTAGGATTAGTTTTAGAACCAGAGATATTTAAAATAAAAAAAAAAATTAAAAAAAAGAAAAGAAATTCGTTTGACGTGTGTGCATCCCTTGTGGTTAATTAATTGGGTTTGCAGTCACACCTTCAGTTATTTGCTCCCCGTCTAGGCTTCCTTCAGTCGAGCTTCTGCCCAGCAGCACCGGGGTGCAAATGGTAATTTTTCGTGCGTGCACGCTCATTTCTCTAATCTACCAAATAAGAGTAATAGATTCCCCATCCCCTTTGGGTTTGTGAGGATTGAAACGGCTAATAAACTTCAATACTTAGAACTGTACCTGGCAAATGTAAAGTGTAAAGTAGACGGTTCCCGTTGTAGAAGTGATACTATTTGGAAAGGTTATAGTAAATGCTATAGACAGACACTGCTTAAGACTTTCGATATGACTAGTTTTGAGGAAACACTTGAGAAAGTGACATTCAAGTAAGTGAATATAATGCTGAGGTTGGCGTCTGGGACAAGCTACCTTTAGAACGGCCTTGGTGGGCATAGCTAACAGGGTAAATGCAAACCTGTTGACCTGAGGTTGAGCACGGAAACCCACAGTAAGGGAGACCCAACCCCCGACCCACAGTAAGGGAGACCCAATCCCTGACCATTGTTGTCTGAGCTCCACGCATACACCTCATACACTCACACACTAATAAACGGAAAACCTTTGATCGAAGGTTCAAAAGCCTGAGAGGTCAGAATCCAGAAGGGCTTGTGCAGATTTGTAGAAATACGAAAGAAAAGTTGGCATTACTTTATACAAATACCGGGGTTTTACCCCCTTGGAGCAGGAAACCGGTTGCAAGCAGCAGAAACAATATTCATATCACTTAAGTTCAGAGCTAGAGTGATAACTTGGGGTTTCTGCACTCTGCCTTCCAGGAGGAAGGAGGAACAGATTGGTTGCTTACACAGGGGAGACTGAGTACTGAGTAGGTAACCGATAGTACCCATCTGGGCATAGCTGGGATTTATCAACAATAGGATCGCTACTGGAAGTTGTGTAAGGTTGTATCCTCAGTCTGGTTCTTTTTATATGACAGAGCTAGGGCAATCTCATTTACCTGTTTTGTGATAGTAGCATTTATATCTTTGTGATTAAGGAAAAAAAAATCTCTTGTGTAGAGTCCCAGATATCTCTGTCCTACAAGACTGGTTGCCTTGGATGGTCTGAAATGCAATGATTTGGTTGAAGGGTTTTGAGTATCTGCTATGTTTCAAGAACTGGTCATTGGAAGTGAAAAACAACAAAACAAAACAAAATTAACAGCCTTGCCTTTGTGGAGTCTATATTCTAGTGGATGAGTTATCAAAAATAAGACAAGGGAGTAAAGTTTGTATTTTATAAGAACGAAGCAGGAAAAGAATCATGCAAGACTAGGTCTAAGGAGACAGGGATTTTAGGCTGGTTAGAGAAGGTCGTGGAAGGATGCAGACAGTGGCATTCCAGCAAAGATGAGAAGGAGCCAAGTAGTGCGACTTAAGACTAGTAGAACATTCCAGATCAAGGAAGCAGCGATAACAGAGTTCTCCCATCAGGCACGTTGGAAGACAAAGCTAAGGAGCGAGGGCAGGCGAGCAGAGGGGGGATGGACTCAGTAACCAGACTGTGTGTCCCACTGAAAGCGTGAAAGCCTGTGCATTTACTCCAGGCTTAAAAGCCCCGAAGACAATTTGATTAAAAAGAGCCACACGACTGGAGTTTCTTCACTGGGAATAGACTGCTGTGAAGCGCACACAGGCAGGGAGACCCGACAGGAGACCCACACATCCGAGACCCAACCGGAGACCCGACCCACACATCCATGGATTTACCTACAGCCCCAGGGATGACTCCTAAGGGGTGTGGGGAAATATTGCACAGCGTGCAGAAAAACTCTCCGACTGACATGATCTTTCTCCAGAGAGGCTTAAATTAATTATTTATTTTGATGCTGAGGATCAAACTCAGCTCATCAAGCATGCTAGCTAGGCAAGTGCTCTAGCAACTAAAGTCCTTCCCCAGCTTAAGCCCTTGATTTTACTGTAGCTGATAGAGTAGGAGACTTTAAGCGAAGGATTCCGACACTGTATTTCTTCTAGTTGCTATTAGCCTAAAGCATAGATAGGACTTTCTGTCATCCTCAAGAAAGCCAAGGATGTTCATCAGGTTCCTATGTTTGGATGAACTTTTTTTTTTCTTTTTCTTTTTCCAGCTTTGTGAGATTGTTGAAATGTCTACAGAGTTCTCTAGCCATAGAGTGCCTCCTGTGTTTCTTGTTTGCTAGTACCTCTCTAGCATAGAATTCGGCAGATCGCTCCATTAAAAGGCAAATTCTCAGGCTGGCCTCACTATACTCTCCACATCTCTGGGTCTTGTCCCTTCAAGTCTTGTCTGTGTATGTTTATAGGGATGACTCAAAGGGGGGTTAGGGGATGTAGGACAGGAAGGGAAGAGTTGGTAATAGATGCCCTTGCACAAGCAGGGTGAATGGCTCCTCCATGGTCAGAGGAGAAGGTAAGTGTGGGTCTGCAACCAAGCCAACAAGAAACTCCATGGTTTCTGCTTCAAGTTCCTGCTTGGTTTCCTCCCCCATCTTCCCCCAACGATCGACTAACCTGTGAGATGAAATAAACCCTTTCCTCCCCTAAGTTGCTTTTGGCCGTTGTATTTGTCCCCGCAACGGAATGAAATTAGAACACATAGTAAAGGATTCGATGTGGGAGCGAGGAGTAGGTGGATATAGCCACGTGTTTTGGCTCGAGTGAAATTACACAACAATCACATGATACACTGAGACAGTCATCTGCTGGAGGGAGTTGAAGTCCAGAGTTCTGTTCTGGATGTGCTAATTCTGAAATCCATGTGCACATGTCATGTTGGGTAGGTTATAGCTATGACTGAGCAGGGTATTTGCAGGGGGCCAAAGGTATGAGAGGCAGACAAGCAACAGTAGGGTCTGTGGATAGTTTTCCCAGATTTTCTAGCTCCTGTATGAAAAAAATATGTGACAGAATTTTCTACATTGCTGGTCCTAAACATCTGTATGTTATCACCAACCTGAAGAGCTAAAGCAAATAAATTCCTCTACACTTGTAATGTGAACAGTAACCCTGAGATGGGACCAAACTGAAAGAAAACTACCATCCTTTCTATAAGAAACAAACAAACAAAAAAAAAATGAAAGAAAAAAACCGTTTTCAGAAGAAGTAACTTAAAGAGGTCTTTAGTTAAAACACACAGAAAAAGGAGCATTAAAGAAATGTATCTGTCAATTGATAAAAATATATTCTACCCAGGGGGGAATTTTTGTGCATTTGTCAGTCTTCTTTAGATTATAATTCATGATTTGGGGTTTCATCCTGGATAAGCATTTGTGTTCGTGAATTAATTTGTATTTGCGAGCATTGCTTTTTTCCTATAGAGAAACTCCAGAATTATGTAAACATTGGGGCCTTAGAACCTCGTTGTGGCCTGAAGGAGCCTGGCAGTGGTGGTTCCTTGAACCTGGTGGTAATACCCAGAACTGTCGACACGCTGCTTTTCAGTTTCCTACAGATCTGAGAAGCAGAGATGATGTTCCGATCACTTCCTTTTGATCTAACCGTTTCAGAAATTCTCTCTAGTAAGAGCCAGAGGGGGCACAGATCCCCAGTCAGAGCAGAACCGTGACTCAGAGTGTGCAGCATGGCTCCCTTCTTGGGAAGTTTTCAATATCAAAACATGTTGTGTTTTTGAATGAAAAGTAAAATCTACATCCAGTGGATGGAAATTTCTTATAAGAAGATATAACCCCCCTCCCCGATACTTTCTATTCTTGAAAAGGAGAGTTATTTTTGTCAAAGGATATGAGACTTGAATTTTTTTTTTTTTTTTAAATTGGCAGGTTATGCTAGGGCCTGTAATTCTGTGACTGCATTCACTAGGACTCTTCTTCATCTACCTCAGTACAGCTCTAGACTGTGTGCCACCATTTCAAAACACAGGAAATGTGGGCATGAGGGATGAAAGTAGTTGAAGATTTGTGAAATTTTAATTTACGTTGTCTTTACTGATGGGATTATTCTGTCATTTTTAAAGACATTTCAGGTCTGTAAACTGCAACAGGCTTATCATAGAAGGCACATAGAATCAGAATCCAGCCCAGAATATTGCCCCTTCTCCTTAGGAACAGGCACGGAGTGATAGGGTAACTAACTATCCGATCATCTCACCAATGATTCCAGATGTTTTTATCTGAGTATTTGTAGCAAAGTGTTACAGGATTTTCATTGTGGTTGGAAATGATACATAGTATGCTATGGCACCTGAATTATATTGTTCCGAAGAATAACTTCATGTAACTCAGGTGTATAAATCCCTAACACACAGGAAACAGCCCACAGGCCCCAGAGCACACTGGGATGTATACAGCTAAAATCTGTCCCTTTGGGGACTTTACTGGGAAGGATTGCCCAAGAACTGGTTTAAAGACAGGGACCATCTGTCTAGTCAGCAAAATTTACAGCAGATCCTAGCAACAGGAAGAAGGTGGGAAAAAAAAGTTGTAAAGTTGTACATCTTTCCCTAGAGAGATCTCCTCTCAAACTTCTGGGCTGCTGTTTCTAAATCTAGCTGTTCTTGCCGAAGAATTGTCACAGGTGTTGATTTGCATTTACGAGATTCCTTCTGTTACTAGGATTTTTAGACAAATCGTTTTTAGAATGGTTTCAGGTCTGGTTTGTGGAAACTGGTATCTTACTATTCATACCCACAGAAGAGAGAAAAAAAAATTCCAAAATGTCTTGTCAGTCCTGGAGATTAGGTAGATTTGGTGAGTAAATGTTTGCTGGGCATGCAAAACCATAAAAAACTGCTCAGAGAAACTTTAAAATAGCTAGAATAGGGATGCAGTATAGTTCAGGGTCAGATCAATTGCCTCACATGCATGAGACCTTCGGTTCAGTTCTCAAAACCATTAAAAAAAAAAAAGGCCTAAATGAGTGGAAAGATATATTATTTTCATGGAATGGAAGACTCAACAATTTTGATGTACCAACTCTCCCCATTGATATATAAATTCGATTAAACTCCCATCAGATTTTCTACATATTATACCGAGGATGTGGCTCAGTTGGCAGGGTGCCACAGAGCTGTGGTGGCACAGGACTGTGACCCCATACTTTGGAGATAAAGACAGGACCAGACATGCAGAGTCATCCTTGGCTATATCATGACTTCTGTACCAGCCTGGGCTACAGGACACCTTTTTTTAAAACAAAAAGAATCTTCCTAAATATTGGCAAACAACTGAAAATATTTAAGGATAAAAGGACTTGGAATAGTCAGAGAGGAGGAAAAGGCTGGGACACAGTTTCAGAAATAACCTGTAAAAAGTTTCAGCGTCAATACAGTGTATTAACATGCAGGACAGTTATACAGCTCAAAGAAAGAGTCTTCAAGGAGATCTGTAAAATCAATTGTTTACTTTTGGTGTAAGAGCTGCTGGTGATTGAACCTTCCTCATGCTAGGCAAATGTTCCTTCACTGAACACATCCATCAGTTTTCAGCAAAGGCACTGAACCAAGACACAGGAATGTCTTGTTTGCTTTTTTATTGCTATGATAAGATACCATGGCCAGGGCAACTTCGGAACATTTAATTTGGGATGCTCAGCTCCAGGCTAGCATGGCAGGCAGGCAAGCAGCAGGCAGGCAGCAGGCAGCAGGCAGGCAGGCAGGCAGGCAGGCAGGCAGGCAGGCAGGCAGTCAGGCAGGGCATTGGAGCAGTGGCTGAGAGCTTAAATCCGATCCACAAGCACAAGCTAGAGAAAGAGAGCTAATTGAGAATGACATGGGCTTTTGAAACCTCAAAACCCACGCCCCACAGTAACATGAATAAATAAATAAACTGCATATTGGGACAAAAGCTTATGAACCAAAGAATTTGTAGGATCCATAATGTTTTAGAATATGGAAAGTACCTGCTGCAGTTTATTACTTATAGAAATGATGTTTTTGAGGAAAATGGGCAAAGGTTTGGATAATTCCTGAACAGGCGACAAACACACGAAGAGATGCCCATCACGGCCTAGCCAATGGAAAAGTCAAATGAACCACAACGTGTATCCCACCATTAGTATATCCCACTACAGTGGCTAACTAAACTAGCCAACTAAACCAAACCAGGCAGGCAGTGCCAAGAACTTAGCGCTAACACTGTACTTCATGATTTGATTGTGACGGCGTTCTCTTAAATGACTATGCAAGATAAAATTAACTACACCATGCGTTCTGAATAGATGAGGTTGATTATAAGGTCAGGCTGCAATAAATTCAACCAATATACAAAGCCAAATGGAAGAGTAAAATTGTTTACTATCTTGATAAAAGGCCAAGGTTGTACAGATGCCTAAGCAATTATTAAAATTCTGTCTGCATAGTAAACAGCTAGGATTAGATTTAGGTCTTAGCCCAGATTGTTTTGCCTTCACACTAGACCACGTGGTGTTGCCCAGAAGGTGCAGACAAAGGAGAGGAAGTAACAAGGAAGTAACAAGTAAGTCTCCTGAGAATTGACCTTTGCTATCCAAATTCCCAGGCTTGCCCCAAACACTGATGTCAAAATACCACCCAGAATGCTATGCTTAAGATGCGTCTTTATGAATGATTTCAACATTTCTCTTTTCCTTTCCTAGCTGAAGACCATCAATTTGAATTATATACAGGAGTTATTCATTAAAAGAGAAAGGTCAAATGGTATATATCATTTTGAGATGGGAACCACACTCTTCGAATGCATCACTTCCTAACAACTTTTGCAAAAACAGGAAAAGTTTGTGTTCGCTTGTTTGTTTCTGGAGCATTTACAATTCTGTACTAACTAGGCTAAAGTTAAGAATTGTGAGGAGTCATTGGGTGCCGGGCACTGAACCCAGGTCCTCTGCAAGAGCAACAAATGCTCTCAGATGCTGAGCCCTCTCTCCAGCCCCTTAATAGAACTTTTTCTTTTCTTTTTTTTGAGATAGGATTTGTCTATGAAGTTCTAGCTGTCCTGGAACTCATTCTGTGGACCAGTTTGTCCTCCAACTCAGAGATCTACCTGCCTCTGCCTCCCAAGTTCTGGGATTAAAGCTGTCCAGCTTAACAGAGCATTTTAAATGTTTATTTTGGTCACGTGGCTTTAACAACCCAGTTTACAACATGGCTAACTGAATTCACAGTAAACCACTTCTGAGGAAGAATCAGATGTTTTTTTGTTTTTACAAAATCAGAAATGTACACAGTGTCATAAAAGTGGACATAATTAGGAAGATTGGAGTTCAGTACTATAAAATATTTGGATAAATAACATGGTTATTGAGTAGTAAGTTCTAAGATCACAAACATTTGTTCCTATGATAGCTAATAATAAAGGAAACTGAGCATCACAAAAGTGAGATGTGGAAGTCTAATTTACAAATGGGAAGCATTACATTTGCCAGATTATCCTGTGTCTTACAGTTTTTTTCTGTCCCCCAAGTGACAGCTTGCTTAAAAAAAAAAAAAAAAGTCTCAGATCCCCCAGAGAGAGACTGCATCCCCTGGACACAAGCTCCCCAAGGTGTGTGACGGCCCAGAACAATGAGAATGTTGCGAACAGACGCTGGGTGAATGGACCAGTATGTGGATGGTTGTTCTTGATGGATTCCTATTAACTGAGGGAAAGGAGATAATGCCAGCAAAGAATGAGCCCTGTAAAAGGGGAGGGCAGTTTATTGTAGTGAAACCCCACCGCAGTATTTATTATTCACGACACAACACATACCCCGTCAAGCACCTCCACACTGACTCACAAAACGCCACCCAGAGGCTCCAAGTGCTCTGCCTGGGTTAACACTGAGAAAACACATTTCCACCACTCCGCCCACATTCCATTCGATGACAGAAAAACCTTCCTGGGGCTGCCGACAGGTGCCTTTCAGTCTATTTCCTTCTATTAAGCTGGCTAGTTGTCACAAGCCTGCTTAGGAGCACAAACATGTCAGAGGTTCAGACATTTCCACCTACGTGAAGCTCTCGGCAAAATGTGACCATTGGCAAGATATTTGGGGTAACTAAGAAAAGTAAAGATTTCCCCCCCCAATCAATAGAAACATGCACCTGAGAACAAATACCCCCGCAATATATAGAAAGTACACAAATGCATGCATGCAAGGATGTATGCAGACACCCTTTCATCTAATATGTCTATGGCACATTTTACACATTTACTACAAATTGCACAAACCCAGACACACACACATACACGATGTGATGTGTCGCTGTGTAAGCCATCCTCACGGAGGAGAGCGCTACACAACATTCGGAATAAGCTTATTCATGACCCTTTGGAAAGTAGAATCGACAGGCAGCACATGGTACAAGGTCTCCTTCCCTAAATGTAAGATTCTTTAGCACACTGGAGTTGGTCGACCTCAAAAACCACGTGGCTGTGTTGTCGCCTGAGACAGTCTAACTCAGACACGGTCCTCAACTGGTGCAACTCGGATCTCCCCTGAGTTTCCACAGAGACACTGACAGTCTGACTCTGTTTCCAGTGCTCAGTCATGGGAGACAGCCTGTGTCCACCAGGCGTGCCTTCGCCGTGGTGACCTCCAAGGCGAGGAGGCAGAGCGGTGTTCCATTTGAGCATTCTCGCTCTCATACTGCCAACCGTCTGTCCACTGTAGGCTGTGAGTCCAGATGCCTGGCAATGAATGGCCTCTTCATACGATGGTGGGTTTCCTGGCTTCCTCACCTCAACTAGCTGGAACACGTTGTCAACCGAGAGGGCCCAGGTTCGAGACAAGCTGAAGCTTTGGATTTCTGACTCGTTTTCCTGGATGATTCTGCCAGCAAGCTGGCTGTCTTTCCTCAAACCCTTCTTGATCTGGTCTCTAGAAAAGTCTTTGGATTTCTCAGACCCGACGCTGGAGGTCCGGGGCAGCAGTTTTTTGTGAGAGGTGAAGGAAAAGGACATGGAGTGCTTTCGGATCTCTCTCTGGGGTTTGATCTTGTCTGTCTTTGTGGTGAAACTCTGGTGTCTGGTGAAGAAGCTTCTTTTGGGACAGGACGGAGAAGGTATGGGTGAGTTGTCCAAAGATTTCCCTGGGGAGACTCTGGACAAAGTTTTGGGTACCGGTCCCTGTGACGATGCTAAACTTTGGGTCAAGTTCTTTATCTTTAGATCCACTGGCCTCTTGGGCTTGCCTTCAACTGCTGGGAAGACTTCCTCTGTAAATGGGTCTTCAACTCCATCGCCCTCAAGACAAGAGGCTTCCTGGGGCATGGTGACGTCATCCTCGCTCTTGGTTAGTTTCTGTTTTGTCCTTTGGCCCAGGAGGCACTCTGGTGAGGGTGACATGTTGGGTTCAGAGAACCGCCTGTCTGGCTGGCCAATGGAGCTTTTCAGCCTGGCCACCATGCTAACAAAGGGTTCTGAGCTTGACTCACAGGTGGCCTGGTTATCCAGGCCAGCCACTGTGGCCGTGGGCCCCTCTGGCTGCCTGCTGGGGGAAGGGATGGCACTTGTGGGCTCCACATCCGGGTCATTGCTGTCATAAGCTGAGTCATTCTGCAGAGTCGACACATCTGGGGAAAGTTAAGGCAGAGTTGAGCATTTTATCCAAGCTCTTTTAGAAGCAGTATTTATTACAGCCCACCCTCTTTGTACCTATGGTGGTTTGGCGGAAGTGCACTGGGGGCTTAATCTGAGAATAAACTGAATACAATAAGTCGTTGTTTCTATCTAAAAGGATCCTTTAATGGACTCACGTTCCTTTGTAGAGCTGGAACTTCCTTACTCCAACCCCATAGCTAAAGTTTACTAAGTAGAATCAAGAGTTATTCCTGTCTTAGAATGGGAAGGAGGAAATTATGATTGATAAAGAATAGTACAGCATGAAGTGTTGCAGGTAAATCTAAGAGCAAGGCCTCTGTAGTTAACGACTTTCTTACAGACTTCTGATTTGTGAAAGCGCATCCTGCTTCTAATACCAGGGATGCTCCACATCACCGCACCGAGCACTGAGGACCAGCACACCCTCCTCCCCAGAACCACACTCAAGTGACAGAATGTTCTGTACCTGAACTGTCAGTGTGTTCCAGGGAGTCGTCAGAAGTGATGCGGGAATGTGTCGGAATGTTCTCCCCAAATATTTCAAAGCAGTTGTCAATGAGGAATTCCACCAATGTCTTAACCTGTGAGGGAAACGTAAGCAGTTTGTCAGCTTAAGTACATTCCTAGAAAAGAAGGTGGAAAAGAATGAGGGCATATCAGGGCCAACGCCTAGGGAAGTGGCACAAATAGAATTAGATACCTCCATGTGCCTGAAAAGCACATTGAGATTGGTGGTAATAATTTACTTTATTTTATGGGGCTTTTTTGAGGCATGCTTTTTTTTTTTTTTTTTTTTTTTTTTTTTTTTAATTTCAGGACTAAAAGGAAATTACTTTGAAGTAGCTGAAATTCTCATTTAAGAAAGTAGTCGTTCAGATTTCTAGTTGACCAGGCAGAATATGATATACAGAAGTAAAAGAACAAAGTGTTTTTTCTAGCCGGGGAGTTACTGCCGTTAATGTCTGCTATTCTGGCCTGTCTCCCAGGACAACAGAGGATGTGTGCATTTCACTCTTCAGCAAATATGTGTATCTAAGAGAGTGGAAGCATGGGAAATACACCCTGCAGTAGACACTTCCTCTGTGGGCCCTGAGTCACTTTGAGAAAGAAAGTCAGCATCAAAGGGCTCTGCTGTTACAGAGGGCGGACTCATGTCTGGGGGCTTTCTCACACAGAGGCAGGACGTACCTTACTGTTCAGGTCCTTCTGCGCCTGGAAGGACAGGCTCTGGTCATTCTTCAGAGTGAGCATGTTGGGCCCGATGCAGATGGCTAGGTTGCTAGAGTCCATCTTGTTGACCTCGGCGTTCTTGCTGATCAGATGCAGCACGTAGACCGAGTGCCTGAGCAGTAGAAGGTTGGGTCGGGGGAGGCGGTCTGCAACCCTGGAAGAATTGTTGAGGGATGGTGGCTTTAACTTGGCCTCTCAGGAGGTTCTACCCGAACCGGACTTCCTCTAAAGCGAGGAAGGTGCATTTCCAAAAGGAACATTGTGAGATGTTCATTTGGACTCCTGCGGCGGTGGCTGACATGGACCTGACAGTACCTCTCTTTGTTATATGCATGGGTGCCGATTGTGGAGCAAGGCCTGCACAACCCCCAAAGTCCGCTTTACAATTTGGAAACAATTTTGTCACCCTACCAAATGACCGTGTCAGAATTCTTTCTGTCTTGAGCCCTGCGAGACTGATTTTCTTACACTTCTTAGGACTGTAATTTTTATATCACTCTGAGAAATCTCTAGATAGAATCTATCTATAAAAAGCACATTTATAACGAGAGGCAGGCGGTACTTAAACGCAAACATGGTTCTCGTGATAGCAAATTAAGATTGCTTTTTTTTTTTTCTTCACATTTTGCTGAAGTGAATCCAACACTTGGATCCTTTTCTTAGTGTCGTTTTCGTAAACGAGTTTTATGCCCAAATAGAAACTTATTGTGATACGATTAGAATTCTGGGGAGGGGCAAGGGTGGGCAGAAACTATCCTCCTTTTGGTAAACATTTTGTGCATAAACATTTGGCTGCAGGGGGCAGCTATTGCATATTGGTAGGCTTTCTTAAGATGTGGCGAAGGTTCTGGCATGTTAGCAGAAGGCGTTTCAAACTACTTATGCAGAGGTCTGTCACGCTTTCATTTGTAAATATAATTTGTGCTAACTACTGGAATTTGCTTTTCTCTCTTTTTTCTTTTCTATCCATAAGAATTTAGAGTTCCCTGTGGAGTTTTATAAACAAAACAACCCCTTCCAAGTTGCTGTGCTGTGCTGTAAGGGTTTATGAGAGGGTTAGGGCTGGCATGTTGTCAGTTTGTGAGTTTAAGGATAACTCCAACCTCATTGGCTAGCCTGTGGTACAGTGATCACGTGTCTGAGCACCTTTTTAAAACTGCTCCTGTGTTTAGGTTCTCTCCTATTTCGGGGGTCTGTGAGTACTGAAGTTTACTTTCTGCTTCTTAAGAAGTTCCTCTCGTTTGGGTAGAACTGCTTCCTCTAAGCAGCCAGGGCTCCCACTCAGCTTCCCTGGGCCTCACAGTTTCTGTGAGGCAGGAACCCCAGGTTTGTAAAGGAGTAAAGATGGAGGCCTTGCCTCCCGCCGAGATGGGGGACTTACTGCTTTAGGGCCTCGATTCTGTCCTCCTCGCTTGGCTTCTCCAGGGCGTCCATCCACTCCTCAAAGAGGTCACAGGACAGCAGCTTCAGGGGGATTCCTCGGAGGAAGTCCTGCAGGGAGGAAGGGGGTGCGTTTGCTTGTTTGTGCCATGCAGTGAGTCTCCCCTCCTTGTGTCCCGCCTTGGCCAGGCACCCCTGTTCACCATCACAGCCTCTTCCAAACTCACACTGAACTCAGGAACCTCCCAGTAACCAGCGTGCTAAGATGCACTGTCCATAGGTAGGCGCATCTATCTGGGAAGGCCAGATTTATGAACGGACTTGGCCATGGGGCAATCAAATAAGGTTTGGGAGAATTACATGTCATCCTTTCCATTGAAGCAAAGGTGCTTATATGAATAACTGCCAAGTTTAACTGAGGAAAGACTAAACTCCCAGATCAGCTGGCTCTGCCTGCCAGGTCCTGGTTTCCTGACGAGTTTCTCAGCACGCCCCCCCACAGACCATCTGGCACAGATGCAGCAGGCTCACCTTGAAGACCACAGCCAGGAGGTGTACTGGGAGCTGGTTCAGATCCACCGGGCTCCCACAGTTAAGTTCCTCTTTCAGCTCCTTGCGGGCTTTCTCGCTGGCTGCTTTCCTGAATATTCCTTCAGTTGAGGGGCCTTTAAGGCAGAGGATGGTGAGGATGTCCTGTGGGAGCAGACACAATGGCAAAAAAAAAAGGTCACATGGAGACATACACATTTCTGCTGTTAATGCACTGAAACCAATCCATCCATTGACTCTTGTTACAAGAGAGCCTTCCCAAGCTACCAAAGCCGGTGCTACTGAAGACGCCCTTTACTCGTTTTTCTTGGGGGGGGGAAGACTGTGGAAGTACTAATCTGCATACTCTCCCTTCAGAACTTCTCACAGAAGCACCAGCTTTCCCACAAACACCCTCCGCCCGCTCTTGGCAGAGCTACTAGAAGTTACAAACATTCCACCATCTTCAACCCACAAGTCAGAGCACAGTGGTGGATACCAGCCGCGCTGGAAAGCAGACAGAGGCTTCGGGTGTGGAGGGAGAGTTCCATCAGAGTTCCCAAAGATGTTTCTAGTTCATGAGTCAACACACAGCTACCTGGATGGGTCTGGGGAGTACATCGTTTTTCCCACAGATGACCGACAAGGGTTGATCAAACAGTGGCTCTTTGAGCTCTGGTTCCAACGGCCCAGAGAAGTCAGATGAAGGAGAGAGCTTTCTCATGAGAGAGGGCCAGGAAAGCACTTTCTTTCTCTTCTTAACTTCTATAGCCAAGGGAACAAGGAGGTAAAGAGAAAACCAATGTCAATAATAAGCCAAGATCCAGACTAGAACATAGAAGGTGTTGACCATGTCATCTATCTGTAGCACCCACAACCGCGCTGAAAAACAAGATGTTGAAAACTTGAGAAGGCCAAGGGTGTAACCCTTGACCTAGAAAAAACAACCCCCAAACAACTGCACAGTTTCCAGGGCAGCCGGTCTCTAAATATCAACACCAGGGTTCCTCAAAAGCTCCACCTTTCCTGTTTTTAACCTTCACAGCTATTAGCTACAGAAAACCAGCAAAATTTAACAGCATGGGTCAAAATCACCCATTTTAGTGTATTGTTCCTAATAACTGCAGCGAATATTCCCAATTAATGGGCGTTATTTAAATTTATTTCCTCGAATATGAAAGTTAACAAAGAGAGGAAGTATCTTGCTCAAGATCCTCTGGAAGGTTCTGCCCAGGGCTGGCTAGTCACCTGTCTTAGCACTTAGCCACCACTGGAGGGCGCTGCATCACCCAGGGAATCTTGCAGTCACCCAGTCTGTGAATTTCAGAAGCTAATATAATAAATGCATGGTTCTTCAGGAGGGTGGCCACCCAGGCTTGGCACTTTGCCTAGTATCTGACCCTTTTGTCAACCAGAAAACTATGTGCAATGTGTGTCAGAACTCTGTGGTCCCCCTTTAATCTTTCTTTTCCCTCCTTCTAATGGTAAAGGCCCAATTTCCTAAACAACTGTCATATGTTTTCACATAGTTTGTACTGGCAAGTGGGACACCCACGGGAACAATGAGGCCCATGCTTTGGGAGGGGTGACCAGGTCTGACACACATCATAATACAGTTGGGTATGGAAGAGAATAGGAATGCACACCTGAGCTCAGCAACAATTGCCTCATGAACTCTTAGGTGCAGGAAGGTGAGGAGAGCATGTGCGTCTCTCCGATGCATGCACACCTCCATCCTAGGGTTGACAAGGCCAGCCTGGTTGGAGACCCCCTGTGGAGCTGAGCACTCAGGGCCGACAGCCCCCCCCCTCCCCCCCGCTGTTCTAGTCAAGGGTTAATGTTCTGCGGTCTCTCAGGACACTTAGAAAACAAATTCCTAGTAAAGTAAAAGCCCTGTGGTTTTGCAAACCCAGAGTGCTACTTAGGCTCCACGGTAGAGGTCAGTATGTTTTCAAAACTCACCAATTAGCTGGCAAATGCTGTCTTCACTGTCACAAGAGGTTAGTAGCGGAAGAGCCTTGATATCACCCTGAAAATGTATTTAAGTTAAAACAGTTACCTAAGATGCACACAGACGGACGGCCTTTTATTCATCGTAAAAATTAAGTCAACTGCATTCATTCTGCATTCTCCTCAGGTCAACATTATTGTAGAAGAGCTCACCAGGTGTGTTTAATTTATAATTAAAGTGCATTACAAGGTGAAAACATTATTTTCTTACCTCCGACTGACATTCAATTAATGTCTCCATGTTACTGGCATTAAGTGTTTTTGACTAAAAGAAAGGAAAAGAAATATCATCAGCGAAGGGCCTCGGGCTCTTGTCTGTGGACAGAGGCAGGAGTAAGGTGTGAGGTGCTCACGTACTTGGAGACTGCTTATCAACTTCATTGGATTTGGGATTGACAGTCCAAGGGGGCATTACACCAGTGTGAAGCTTTGATTCTGCCTGCAACAAATCATAAAGGAAAAAGCATTACAAAGTAGAATAACCAGTCAAATTTCAGAGTCAGACTGTTAGCTCCCCCTCCCAACCCCCGCACCCCAGCTTAAAGCCTCTGGCAGACAAGTTTTCACTTAAAACCAGCTTCCCACTAACAGGCGGCATGAGAATCCCGCCCAACTTTTCATTTGCATTTATTTTATCCAAATGAAATAAAAATTCCTACATTTCCATGAAATAAGATAAAAATCACTCTCTCTTACTAAACATCACCTATTATTAAGAAGAACATCTGAGAAACTTGCTCCTACATTCCTTAAGCCGTTTGAATTTACTGCTGTGAAACTATGTGGTCCGTTACTCCTTTCCCATCAGGAGAATCTGAACACGATCATAGCAACTAACACTTTTTTTTTTTTTTTTTTTTTTTTAGTGTTCATAACATACTATATTAAATGCTCTACACACTCTCATCTAACCCAAGTAGGAAACAAATTTATTTCTAGGATACCGGCTGCAGTACACAGAAACTAAATCCAACATTTACAGAATTCCTGAACCCCCAAATTGCAGCTGTCACATGGCAGCCAAGCAGTCTGCATTCAGAGTCCTTCTAAGTCAGACACACATTTCTCGGCAGAGCTTTTTTTTTTTTTTTTTGGCGACATAAAACCTCAGGGATCGAAGACCCTCGACCCCCGGCAGTTATGTTCTGTCCTGTTATTTATTCTACAGTACTTACCCCGGGAGGGTCTTTAGCCAGAGTTCTTTTACCTCCAGCGAACTGCTGAAAACAGGAGACACAGCATGGTACTCTGAAGCTAGGAATCCACCCACAGAGACACCGCAGCCCTCAGCCTCATGTGCTGGCCTTTATATGGGGGGGCGGGGGGCCGGCAGGTGGAAACTCAGAATGCTACTGGGGCCGGAAGGAGCATCATGGGCTGTCACAGAGACGGACTCAGCCACACACTCTGGACGGCTCACTTCCTCATTCCTTTTAGGGCAGCGATGGTTCTTTCCACCCCCCTCCTGCCCCTTTTCAAAGTAAAAAAAAAAAAAAAAAATTACAGACTACTAGGGGTGGAAAAATATGACAATAGTGAACACAGGAGAAGACTTTGACTAATGTCAAAGGTGATGTGTGCGGCCGAGAAATTTTGTTATTCTACTTGTAAACATCATCTTATTTTCAAAAGTGGCCATCTCACCCTGTCCCTGGTTGGTCTATTCTGTGTGGGGGGCTGCTTCTTGTTTGCCCACCATCCTCTATGTCCACCGGGACTAGATATATTAGTTGGCACATCTAAGCACAGGGTGTTGCTATAAAACCAGAACAGAGTCCAAGGAATGACTTCTCCTCTTTGAAAAAATGATCACTGTCAAAAGTCACTTCAGCGTCTTAGGGATTAGGGGAACTGCCCACTGAGGAGTATCTTTATTTCTCGTGGAGAGAACCATGGCACCAGTTTTGTTGTGAAATACACTAAGGAGCGGTCATCCTGGTCACCTGTGTTCATTTTTAGGATCAATGATTTTGAAAAGTGGATTAAAGGGCACGCGCCATCTGTCAATAGAGACATTTGCGTGGCGGTTTTCTTAGCAGGGAGTGTGCAGTGTGGAATATTCTTGTCCTTTTTTTTTTTTAAGATGAAGAGATTTATTTCTATTTTATGTGTATGGGTGTTTTGTATGTGTTTGATGTATGTGTGTGGCTGGGTGTCAGAGTCCCCTGGAACTGGAGTTACAGGTTGTTGTAAGCCTCCATGTAGATGTGGAGAATTGAACCCATGTCCTCTGCAAGAGCAGCCAGGGCCCTTAACTACTGATCTCTCAAGCTCCTATCACCGTTTCCAAAGGTGAAATTCTCAGTTTATTATTGTTGTTGTTATTTTTAAATACATCTTCTTTCTCCAGCCCATTTCTTTGAAGAATAAACTTGTTCCTCCCTGTATGGCAAAGCATTGTCTTCACTTGGTAGGATGGAACCCACCTGGCTTCTGCAGAGTCAGGCTGGAGAAGAAAGTACTCCCCTCATTCGGCTGGTCTGTAAGGACAGGTGGCTCTGTTGTAGGGCCCGCGCCTCACATGCTGAGGTGTGTGTGTGTGAGAGTTGTGGGGAACTACTCTCTTTCCTCTTCCAACTTCCAGTCTCGCTTCAGTCCTGCCTGTGGTACACAAGACTTTGGGAGTCGCTTAGCATGAACTGTTTGCCCTGCCTTCCTGGGAAGCACCAGCTTACTATAGTCTTCTTGTTCTGAGTAGAGACCCTTTCTCCTCTCAGGACTGCTCTACCTGTGAGTCTCAACCTGTGGGTCGAGACCCCTTGGGATGGTGTGGGGGGGGTAGAGTTACTGATGGGAGATGTCATTCTGTAAATATGTTTCTCGTATTGGTTAATGAATAAAGCACTAAATAATAAATAATAATAAAGCCAATAGGAAAGCAAGATAGGCGGGACTAGGAGACAAGGAGGATTCAGGGAGAGGTCGGAGGAGATTCAAAATGTAGGACCGAGAGGAATGACATCCAGGTTGACCCCAGGCCTCCACATGCATGTGCCCGGTATGTCCACACTAATGAACATGCATACACACACACACACACACACACACACACACACACACACACACAGAAAGAGAGAGAGAATTCCTATGTAGTCTTCGCTCACTGTCTTTGATTCATGGAGACAGCTATGCATATGATACAGCAAAGGCCAGTGACGTGGCATCTGGTCAAGGGGAAAGCAAGCCTTTGCCACTTGTCCTTACAATGATCAGTTGTCTATGAATAGCCTTGGTTTAGATCTTATCCTTGACCTTTAAGTGGTGAGCAAGGGGGCCTTGTCACATGTGGGTTTCAGATGCCAAAGTTCATGGGAGGAATTGTAGATGTTGGTCTCCCCATGACATTCTGTCACAGGGAAAGAACCTCCCCATGGGGGTCTATCTGGATTCCTTTAGTACCAAGCTCCTGCCACGGGAAGCTCTGACTCCCCACTGTCCGGGGGGCATCCTTATTAGATGAGACAGAAGAGGCCCTGGGAATCTGACAGCTTGACCATCCTTACTGGTCCATAGCCAGGCTAGGTCTTGGTTCTCAGCTTTAAGTGAGAACTTGGGATTCAGGAGGCTGAACCACATCCTGGCCTCCCTGAGTTTCCTTATACGGTGAATTCTTATCTGCGCGTCCCCGAAGAACCTTCTAGGAGCAGGGCAGTGTGTAACAGGAAGGTTTTCAATAGCCCAATCTGGGCTAAAATAAATGATGTTCACAACTCTCTCTGTCTCCGTCTCTCTCTCTTGTCCTTGGTAGGAAAAAGGCTGTCCTCCAGTCAGATTTTAACTTTTGTTATGGAACATGGGTTACCTAAGTGTCTCTGAGTTTGCTGGGACCCCAGGGTCCCTTAAAGGATGCACACCATCACCACATTCTTGCAGAATCATCCCCTGGACCACAAATGCCTGAGTTTCTGCAGTGCCAGGCCACACGGTTTAAATTTTCACCCCAGATTTCATGATAATTATCTTTGTGTCAGAATATAAAATGGCCTCACTATAAAATAATATTTGAAGAACTCTGTGTATTCCGAAAGCCAGCTTGAAATCCAAGAAAGGTTAGGACAAAATGATCCTTTTAAATTGCCTTTCTTGGTTATGGGGATCCAAATGAAGAATTGGAAATAAAACACCCAGGGAGCAGGCGATTAGAATCTGAGATGTTGATGTTCCAGATGTCCACAGTGCCAATTGAGAAGCTTCAGTTCGCAGCACGTATCACTTGAAGAACCAGAGAACCCCTAAAAAAAAAAAAAAAAAAAGATTCTGAGCTCATTTGGACCTGAAAAACCTGAGCAGAACAATGGGAGAAAGGTTACCAGAGCAACCCTGAGCATCAGTCCTTATAGTGCAAATGGGTAACTTTTTGAAGAAAAATGACAAAAAACACTAGTGAAATTGTCAAGTGAACCTTTTTCTCAGTAGCTTAGAAAATTCACAAGTGGCACTTATAAAAATCTGAATGAAAAATGGAGAAAATATGGAAACAAGTTTGGTTAGTCCCTGTCTTTTGAAGATGTTTACCATAGTCTAGGTTGAGGGTTGGTTGTTTGTTTGTTTTTAAATTCTTAGCACTTAATTCTTTTGTCTTGGAGGTCAGGGAGCAGGGGACGAGGTTTGTTTGTTTGTTTGAGACAGAGTCCTGACTGTCCTGGAACTCACTATGTAGTCTAGGCTGCCCTCGAACTCACAGAGCTCCAACTGCATCTGCCTCCCAAGTGCTGGTATGAAAGAGGTACATCACCACGCCCAGTCCCCTACTTAAATTTTTAGAAAGTGTTTTATTTTGGTTGTACGGCTCCTTGCTTACGTTCTGAGCCTTGCTTGGGAAATCCTTAGCAATCTGGTGGCAGACGCAGGGATTGGGTGCCATAGGCATCCACTAAGTGGTTACTGTGCAGGCAGTCAGGGCTGGTGAGCATTTCCCACAAGCAGACAGCTGGCAGGAAGCCCGACTCAATGGCTGGGGAGGGGTGATCCCAGAGCAGGGTGCATGGAGACTGTCTGTCGGAGTTGCCCACACACTGAAGTACTCCACTCACTCCTGCTACCAGCTTGCTCCTGTTGGGGATCTTCTGGAACGGCAGAGACGAGGTCCAAGCTGTGATCTTGGGGTCCGCTACTCCTAGGCTCTTCCCCACAGAAATAAGAATCCAAGGATGACTCCTCCTGCCTTTGGTCCATACAACTGCATAGGAAGCTCTTGAGATCATTAGACATAGCTCTGTAGACTCCTATCTCTCATTGATTTTCAGATGCTGACTGGAAAACTGTGAGCAAATGTAGCCGGGTTTTCTTTTCTAGCCCTAGCCCCAACCAACAATTGTAACGTGTACGGTTTTTCTGCCTGCTGCCGCTGGTCTTGTCCCGCCGCCATGCCAGCCCCAAATAATGCACAGAGACTCTGTATTTGATACAATGCTGTTGGCCCGGTTACTTGTTTCTTATCGGCTAGCTCTGCCTTAATTATTAACCCATTTCTGCTGATCTATGTATTTCTCTTACCGGGGAGCCGGCGGCATACTGCTTTCTCCCGACTCTCCATCTTGGCTCCTCCTTACTACTTCCTATTTCCTCCTTGTCTCTCCTATCTTCCTTTCCTATTGGCCAGCAGTGCTTTATTATTACCCAGTATGAGAAACATATAGAATGACATCTCCCATCAAACAATATGAAGACTTATTATTGATTATGAAAGTTTGGCCTTAGCTTAGGCTTTTCCCCAACTAACCCTTACAACTTAATAAACCCATATATATTCTTTAAAATTTATGTTCTACCACATCGCTCAGTTACCTCTTCTTAGTACAGCACATCTGACATGCTCCTAGTCTGTGGGCGAAATCCGCACCTAGATTCCTCTCCCAGTTTCTCTCTGTCTGCCTGGAAGTCCTGCCTATTCTTTCCTGCCTAGCTATTGGCTGTTCAGATTTTTATTACACCAATCACAGCAACACATCTTCACTCAGTGTACAAATAGTCTACAACAAGCAAATGTCTTTTATGTTTTAAAAACTCTGTGTGTGTGTGTGTGTGTGTGTGTGTATGCACCCCTGAGTGTGTGCGCGCTCCTGCCGGCACACAAGGCCAGAGGTTGACATTATCTGTTTTTATTGTTCCTTACCTTGTTTGTTGAGACATGTTCTCTCTCTTTCTCTTTGAATCTGTATGAATTTGTCTAGAATGACTGGCCAACAAGCCCCTGGAGTCCTTAATGCTCCATTGTGTGTACATATGTACATGCTACTTGGCTTAGTTCCCCCCCCCCCCCCCCCCGCCAATTAATTTTTT